GAAGAAATACAGGCACCTCTCTATACAGAGGGGTGTGGGAGTATGGGATGAGCTGCCCAGCCGTGATGAGATCCTGGAATATATTAGCTACCAGGTGAGCTGAAGGGCCTCCTCGCTTTCCTAACCTCTTTGTGTTCTCAGCCACATGAGATAACCATGGAAGAGACTCTTACACTCCCAGCTGCAGCGGTTTCAAGACAATGATTGTGAACTCAAGGTCAGCTTCTAGTCCATGTGGAAGTTCATGGCCTGGGAAGTCTGTCAGGATATCAAGGAGCTCTCTGGTTTCTAACTTTTCTTTATGCTCTTATGTTGCAGAAATGTATCTGTGCAAAACCATGGACCTCCAAGAGACAGACAACTGAAAGAGGCCAGCCTCAGACACCAGGCCCACTCCTACGTCTTATCGGCGCCTGCTGTGTAAGAGCTGGCTGGTGCTCTTAGCCAGTGAGCCAGCCACGGTCTCAATACTCTCCTTCTGGCTGAAGGTCAGAAATTAGTCCCAGAGGAGACTCCTTGATTGTGTACCTGTCAGGAAAATAGAATTCGGACCTGCCTGGCCCACGTGTCTTCGTACATACAATTCCTCGACTATCACGCTGCTGCCTTTAGCCAAGATGTGTTCAAGAGTCCCTAAAAACATGGACTCACTTTTCTAGAAGTTAGACTCTCATGCTGTTTTTTTCGGTAGATTCGGTACATCTGGGTTTCATGGAAATCCTGCTCTAATCTCCTTTTCCGAATGTTACACATGGAAATTCCTGTTGAACTATCTCCTTGGTAGTGCTCTTGCCTCTGTTCTTGGTAGAGTTTCTGAGCGTCTCCAGTGAGTTCAGTGAGAAAGAATTTTAGCATTTACCTTTTAAGTGTACAAAAATAGTAACTATTTGTCCTTGCTAATTTGCGTTTTTTGCCTAGTGATGGTAAGAAAGAATAAATTGCAGGCACATTATCTGATCTTTTTGATGCTAATTTTATAACTGCAGAATGTATGGCTAAATTTCACACTTGTAGTGTATACTTCCTTTTCACCAAATAAAAGGTGAATTTTCATTTCTTAAGCATAAAGTGGTCAGTTAAAAGTATTTGTAGAGAAGACAACTCCTGAAATGGAAATTTAGAATGAGCTAAGTCACCCTGAACCTGCTGTATAAAGCCCATTAGCTTTGACATCTTCATTCAATGCTCTCATATCTGCATGACTGTATCCTCTCCATGCGCAGGAATACAGGACTCGGCTGAACCACCCCTAACCCGAGTGAAGAGTTTTCTTCGACACTTTCTCCAGTGAGTTCAGGCAGACTTGCAGCTCTCTCGTACAGCTGCGTTGCAACAAAAGTAACGCACAGTTAATTGAGCTCAATGCCAATCAGGATCAGAAAGACTGCAGTGGGATTGTGTTCCTAAAGCTCCAGTGTCCCAGCGACTGGAGTGCAGAGAGTGAAGAGCCAGGGTGTGTGAGAGTGTCTCTGGGGAAGGAGTGTGTGAGGAGAGCTGAGGGAGAGTGTGAAGAGTCACTCCTGTGGTGAGAGCTGTGCTCACTCCCCTCACTCCTCCTTCACACACTCTTCTCTGTTCCCTCCTTTCAGGGGAAGATCCCCATTCAGGGAAATGGCTCCTTGTGTCTGAAAGTTACTGAACAGCAGCCACTGGAAACACAGCTGAGAGAAATGGGCCTCAGTCTGTCTCCTCCGCTCTTTCAGGTTCTCTAAGGACATTTGGTACGCAGAGGACTACACGCAGAAAATCACCTTATTCCTGCTGGATCTGTGTCTGCAAGGAGCAGAGTGGGAGACACAGACAGGAGAGAAGGTCTTGGAAACACCGCCGTCAGTTCTGAGTTTTTATCTTTTAATGAGGCAGTGTGATTTCCTGCTGGACCTGTATTCCCATGTGAAGGACTATGAGTCTCAAACAGGCAGGAATGTTCTCCCAGCACTCCGGACAGTTTTCCTGCTCCAGTGTAGAGAACAGCAGCAAAGTCTTAGTCCTGGATTCCTGCTCATCACCACTGCACAGTGAGACGTCAAGACACCCCCGGGGCACAGCGCTTGATCAATCCTGCCTCAGCACGGTGCAGCACTCCGACCAGTTAGCGCCGGGCGCTGCTCTCTGCCTCATCAATCCTGTCCAAGCGAGGTGGATGAAAGGAAATTAGCAAAGGATTTGTAGACTTCCTCTGGAAGTGGTCTGAACTGCACCTGAAGAGCTTGTCATTCACAGAGCCACTCTGGGACCTGCCTGGGTAATGAGTCTTTGTTTTTCAGGGGGCAGAGATAAATGAAACGCTGAGCCAGGCGCTTATGGGATTAAATCGGTGTTAGTGTGAGCAGCGCGGCCCGCCCTGGCTCTTTGACATACGGCTGCCTGAGCTGAAATTAGAAACAGGGGGGAAAAAAAGCTGCGGGCGACGAACTTCAGAGCCTCCAGAAGAAAAGAGGGGTGAAATTGGGGTTCCCCTGGTCTCCTCAGCCCACCAAACTCACCCTTTCGGGGGGGGGTTCCCCTGAATGTCACGTTACTGATGTCGAGTCAGGACAGTTCATTCCTGAAAAACAGCCAATCTCATACAAAGGGCCTCTCCCTTCTCGGAGTCCCAGCGTAGAGCGAAACCAAACTGAAATCAAGCGAGTCTCGCCAAAACGCCCCTCCTGCAACGGGACAGGGACGACTCTTTCGCCCGAGGTGCAGTATTCATGCTAACTCCAACATGTTCTGTCCCAAGTAGGAGAAAAATCAGGGCTTTCTGATTTAAGAATCCTTTCTCCTTCGCCAAAGAGCACAGAGTAACAGCTGCCCCCCACGCCTCACGGAACACAGCCCAGTTTCCCGGGGTCTGTAGACCCAGCCGATCACACACACCCAGTAAAAGTCCGCTCTGCCAGCTCTATATGCCTGTTTGCATGGATGATGGATAAAATATTGAACAGACAGAAATTAATCATCATACAGAAAGCTGGGAATGAGTGATGTGTCTGTCACTTAGATTTGACGCTTACTTGATCTCGGGTGGAAAAAAGACACGAGGAATATCTACACACCTCAGAAACTGTTCTGATTTCTGGATTTATCCTGAGGCTGAGCAGTGGTGGCGTCCCAAGAGACCAGATCTTGGGAGCAGACGTAAGACATATTCGGTCACACTGACATATTCATATCCGATCTGATGACATCACTCAGCTCATATCCAATCCGATGACATCACTCGGCTCATATCAGGTCCGATGATATCACTCGGCTCATATGAAGTCAAGAACATGCAGCGAAACCGTCAACAAAAATAAAATCACTCTGTTTTTAACTAGCTGGTTTTGACCCTACCTGGCCTCACAATTACAGCATTTTCACAATCACGGCACTAACAAACCCCATGGGCGCCAAGGCTCCTACGTGTCTTCCCTCCATCGCCGCTGGCGTTGCCCCTTTCTTACCTTCCTCCCAGCCTCCCCAGTCACTCCAGAGACCCTGCGCCTGCGTGATGCTCCAGCTGAACTCTGGGTAGTCCTCCTGGGCACAGGGCCGCCTGTCAGGGCAGTGGAGCTCTGGACAGGAACAAAGCACACAGTCACAGTTACACACAGTTCTACACTGACATTTGCATCTGCCTGGCATTTAATCTGTAATGTGACATTTTCCCTAAGAGTTGATGTTGTTATGATATCACCAGGAATGTGACTGATTTCTCTCCCAGGATGTGAAGTATTGTTAAGACTAAAAGCACTATATAAATTAAATAATAATAATAAAGCTGTCTGACTTGTCAAACCTATGGAGTCAAACCCAGAACCCAGTAGTTCCGACTTCCATTTGACTTGGGTGACTTCTCTGTGTGCCTTAATAATGTGCTGATAATGAGGGGGACACAGCAAACATGCGCGTTACTGCTGGAGAAGCTGTAAGTTTCAGGCACAATCCGCAAAGAAAATCATTTGCAATACAGAGATGGTAATTGTTAAGGACTATCCCTAGTATCCTGGAGGACCAAGGAAGTAAAGCGGGAATTAAGGAATTCTACCAGGACAAGCTTCTGTAGCAATGAGAGATGCCAGAGCACTGGTAGTATCTGACACCCTGGTTTCTTTGAAGGAACAGCTGGATGAGATCCTCCAGTCAGGAAAATAGGCACTTCTTTGCACAAAGTGTGGTGGGAGTGTGGAACAAGCTGCACAGCCATGTTAACTTTGAAGATGCCCTCTGATCTCTGAAGAAAAGGATGCCATCCTGGGATCAATTAGCTACTAACTGCCTAACAGGCCAGATGGGCTGGTGCTCTCCTGACGCTCCGATAGAGAAGAGTGTCTCTTGCATCAGCGTGCCAGGGCTGGAAAGGAGGTTCTGGGTGACAGCGCCCCACCAAGGACGTCCCTCCTTTCCCACTTTTACACAGCTCTCCTCTCTGCTCCGCCAGCCTTCCTGGAGCAGCTGGTTAATGTGACAGATAGTCGCTGCTCGGCAAAAAAAAGCGAAAAGCAGAAAAACCCCCGAGATGCAGATAAAAGGGATAAAATGACACTTAGCAGGTTATTGAACAAGTAATGAAACAAGGAAAAGCGCGAGATATAAATAGCCTCTGTCCTGTCCGCTGGGTATCAAACAAATGTGCTTTGCAATTTCAATGGAGATGAAATTTCAATGGAAAAAAAAAAAAAGCTCCATTAGTACTCGGAGAGCCGATGAACATCGGAACAAAATGTCTTATAAAAGGAGACCGCTTCGCCCACTGACGCCTGACTGTGCTCAAGCGCATAAGACGTAAACAGTTTCATCCTCCCAGCTGCGAGCCCTGGGCAGAGAGAGCCTGTTCCTCTTTGAGGGGTCTCTGGCACTACTAAGTCATTGTGCGCAGGACGGGACCCGAGCAGAGGACCGGAACTGAGGAGGACTGAGCAGAGAGGCAGCGTCGGACCTAACAGGGCTGAGCCCCGTGCCCCCCGCCTTCCGCCCCCTGTCCGGTGATGAGCCCCAGTAATACAACCAGCTGATCGGTCGACCAAGAATCAATCAATAAACTGATGGATCGGTTGGTCAATAAACCAGTCTGTCCCTTAAGCAATGATCTGATAAACCAAGCAACCAATCGATAAATTAATCATTTTTTAAAATAAATCTATTAAATGATCAATTGATCCAACAATCGCTCCAGTTAATCAGATGATATTGTAACGCTTATGGCCGACAGGTACTGTGTAAGAGCCGGCGTACCAGAGCAGGTGACGTCATCGCCCTTCACTGTGATAGCAGGACTATAGCTACTGGGCTGTAGAGAGATCTCTGTTTAGCTCACGGGGCTAGGTCGCTGCAGAGAGACGCAGGAGTCCCGGGTTCGAGCCTCAGTCAGGAGGGGGCCGGCCTAATACAGCAAGGGCGCCCACCAGAGCCCCCGTTGCGTTACAATATACTGTACCTGGGGATTGATGCACTTCAGATTTTGAAACAGAGACTTCTGGGTATTTAGGGGTTTGGACGCTTCCTGAGCCACTGCAGGTAACTTTGGTTTGTTTCCGAAAGCGTGTTGCAGCTGCATGGACTTTGCACTACACTTACTGACAAAGTCAGGCCAGCGGGTTTCTTCACAATGAACAGCGAAACACGAACATGAGGACACAAGGGGCAACCACAGGAAAGAAAATTTAAAACTGAGAGGGCACTTCTTTACGCAAAGAGTTGTGGGAGTGTGGAAAAAAGCTACCCAGCCATGTTGTTGAAGCCGATAGCCTGGTTTCTAGGCAAACAAGGAATGATATAATGTATACGGTACCTATAGTTTCCCTCTGCCAATAATATGATATGTTGATGAATTACAAGTAATGTGTCTATATTGTAATTCAGAAAACTGAACACTTTTATAATTGCACTGTAGGAGGTTGAATGTCCACCAAGCCAATGAAGAATATCTACAATTTACAATATATACAAATCTATTTAAATCAGTACATGGTGAAAGCACTGTGCTCTGTGAAGAGGGATGGTGTAATGTTTGTTCATCCTGGCAAAGATCTCTAGTTCTGACAGGTTTGTTGGGGATAGCTGGTGTTACCAGTTGGTGGCAACTGCTCAACACTCTGAACTAGAATTTACAATCCATGCCCTAGTGTGGTGATTGGAGACGGTGTACTATAGAAAGTGAGATCCTTTTAAAACTGAAGTGTTGACAGCCTTAGTCATGGAAGATCCAGAGCTGTTTGTAAGAGTAGGGGTGTTAACCCTGGTAATAATAATTGCTTACACTCATATAGCGCTTTTCTGGACACTCCACTCAAAGTCCCAGGAGGTCTCTCATCTGGGTACTGACCAGGCTCACACCTGCTTAGCTTCAGTGGTTTGCCAGTTGTGAGTTGCAGAGTGATATGGTATCCTAGATAAACTCCAATCTGCACTGTCCAGTCTCTCCTCCCTAAAGTACACCCTTAATTCAGCTGCTGCATTATTTTCTCACTCTTCCCATTATCTGCTGGTGCAGAATGGTGCTGTGTGTCTCCAGGTGGGGCTGCTGGTACAGAATGGTGCTGTGTGTCTCCAGTGGGGCTGCTGGTACAGAATGGTGCTGTGTGTCTCTGGTTAGGGTTGAGGGATAACAGTTTTTTTATAGCTATGAATAGTGGGAAATTAATATTAGCTAGAGCCATTTCACAAGGCTGAACCTTCAGAAGAGACTTTTAATTCTTGGAAGATAGCACTCCTGGACACCTGTTTTCTCTTATTAGGGCTCATCAGCAAAAGGTGGGATTAGAAGTCACTACAGACGTTCCACCCCCTCCTGTGAAACAGCAAGACCTCGTTAATATTCATTATTCTAATAGATAGGTAGGTAAAATAAAGGCCGTGATAACAACAGTGCAGAGTGCTCATTAATCAGCACTACTCCTCGCTCATTTCATCGAGGAAGAAAAATGAAATCAGACACGGAGCGAGCTGTGTGAAGGATTTCATAGTGGATTTTCCTGAAGACTGATGAATCAAACAGAGCACAGGCATCAGGAATGAGCGCCAAGACATTGACTGATGAGAAAAACTGTTTATCTTCAGATATGGTGATTCATTTTCACTTAGTCATGTCTAATGCTGCCGCAGAGGAGAGAGGCGCCACTTCCATATCGTGGCCACAATCCATCTGCGTTTACCTCTGACTGGAGAGCTGCAGCTTTGTACTTGCCACATACAGCGTGATGGTGCTGCCCTTTACCTCTTTGTAAAGAATTCACAGTCGTATGTCACC